TCAGCTGAATTGATTTGAAGTGTGACTCTTCTGTCAGACACACAGATTGTGACTAGGCCTGTCACAATAACTAATTTTGCTGAACAATAAATTCTCAGAGTAATTATTGTTGTAAATGGTATTTCTTGAGACCGTTTTCAAGTAATTGACAAGATACTGTAATTTTGCCCAGTAAACTTTTTTTGTGAAGTACACTTAACACTGGAACTGGAAGACATTTTAAATATCCAAAGATAAAACAACAACCAAAAAAAATAAATTAAATAGAAATAAAAAAAAAACACACACATATACGAAACAATGACTATCAATATGCAGATGGAGGAAAAAAAGGAATGAAAGCATTCATACCGTTTGTACAGGTCAGTCTGAATAAAAATGTCCATGTTTCAGCAACAGCTTTTTTTACATAAACCCAATTAGGTTTCTTCCAGGAAAGGTAACCCAGATGGTGAGCGGGTTAGGGCAGGTGCAGGTCCCTGATCATGCACCTGGTTTCAGGGTTAAAATATTAAAAGTTGACAGGAAATATGAAAATATCAGTTTTTGTATATTTTAAATGTTATGTCACTCTATATGCTTCGACTGCCCGTCGCTTTGCCTCTGTCACACCGACACTTTCCCACTGTGAGACAATAAAGAAAGTCACTTTTCTACCTGATAAAGTTTGATCACACACAGCGCTGCTGGAACACGTATTGAGAATGCGTAAGATAAACGCACACATTATTCTTTGTTCACAAAGATGCATGCGCTCACATCAGTCTCACTGTAAGCTCAACATGAACCTCGGAAAGCAAGTCTATAACTTGACCTGTAGTCAGGTTCACATCGAGCAACGTATGCATTGAGGCTGATGCGTACGTTGGAGGAGTATTCTCTGAAAAGGCATGATCCTTTTTAAAAATGATGCCTGTGTTTTGTTTTTGTTCCTTGTGCTGTCTCCAGGAGCTGTGGTGTACCGCGTACCACTGACCTGGGGTCAGAATAAACTCCCCTGGAAGCTGCTTCATGCCGCTCTGATGCTGGGCTCCCTGATCATGTCCATCTTGGGACTCTGTGCCGTCTTCGACTTTCACAACACCAACAACACCCCCAACCTGTATTCGTTACACAGCTGGATCGGAATCACAGCCATAATTCTTTTTACACTTCAGGTACCTGGCTTCCAACGGGACAAAATATATCTTGTCATCTTCATTAGTGTTAAGGTATTTTTTCTTTTTGTCTTTTCTAACCCACCGTTGGGCAGTGGGGGGTAGGGTTTGCAGGCTTCCTCTTGCCCTGCTCTCCCGTATTGCTCCGTAAACTCCTGAAACCCATCCACGTGTGGCTGGGCGGCAGCATCCTGCTGCTCACCACCGCTGCCTGCATCTCAGGCATCAACGAGAAACTCTTCTTTGTCCTGTGAGTTCTCTTTGTGTTGCTTTTAAAACTCTGTACCTTTAACATGACATCATGATGTTCAATCTTAACATCTGCTTCTTTCCACAGAAAAGGCAACGTCACATACTCCAGCATTCCAGCAGAGGGTGTGTTAGGAAACTCATTAGGGGCTTTAGTCGTAGCCTTTGGCTTGGTCGTCCTCAAGATTCTATCCACCATCCAATGGCAGAGACCAGACTCCAGGCCTGGGGACATAGCTTACACGGTGGGTGTCTGAGGAAAAATAGCTGATTTGTTACAGTCGAATTATAGTGTCCTTAAAGCTGCAATATGCAACTTTTATAAATGGCGTCTTTTAAAATATTTCTTAAAAGTGATACCATGTTGTGACTGAGAAATAATCTCTGAAAAGATGGCTCTCCTCCCTGAGCTGCTATTGCTGTCTGGAGAAAAGCATGGCTCCTGAAGAAAAACAACCAATCAGAGCCAGGAGGAGTGGCTTAGTGTTGTTAATTCTCATGTACTCGCTGCTAAATGTGCTAATGACAGAGAAACAACTTACCGTTACAGGAAAACTGTTTATCCGCCGTCATCATGGTCATGCTAATTAGGCTGAGCATTCACTACAGGCTCTCCTAGCAGGAGTGTAGCAGAGAGCAAGGGGAGAAGGAAGAGAGTGAGGATGAGCAGCGCCACATGGAGGTGGAGGGTGATTGACAGCACCAAGACCCACTCTGATTGGTTGTTTCTAGGTAGCACTGGGAGAAGATGGCGGAACTAATTTTTTTTCCCACAGATTATGTCTCATAACATACTGTCATGACATACTAATAGTTTCAACAAATATATAAGAAAAAATGATAAAAGTTGCATATTGCAGCTTTAAGTTTTGTTTGATATTGTGAAATGTTTATTTTGTAAAAGTGGGAACCCAGACCTGCATAACATAATTAAAATAAATAAATGAAAAAATATTAATAACACTGATATATTTTATCTTCCAGCCACTTCAAGACGAAAATGACTAAAAGTTGAGGAACTGCAACCAGTTCACTGCTAAATCAGGGCAGTCAGAAAACATATTTAGTTTTCTGATGATGATTAAAGTAAAAAAAAATAAAATAATCACCGTATCAATGTAAATGTGTATTATATTTAAGATTGCTTTTTCACCCAAATAAAACAATTTCATCTGACTTCTTTCTCAGATTACTCTGTCCCATGATGCACTACACCCCTCCCCTGACATCCTATAGAAATGACTTCTCTTCATGTTGTTGAATGCAGCTCTTTAAGTCGTTAACCTGGATTGTTAGGCCTTTCATAATCAAGTTTATTTGTCTGTAACATTTCAGCAACAAGGCAGTTCAGATTGCTTTGCATCATAAAAACACAGAAATACAAAATCATAAAAAAAACATGACGGTCAACAATTGAGAAAACTATTATCAAACATTGCATTTTGATGAGTGCCATCACTCATCAATACACATCAAATATGTTGGTCAATGTTCCATTTATTATGGTTTAAGTGCAACTCTGAACAGGAGGGTTTTTAGTGTTGATTTAAGTTATTTCCATAAGTACTATGATGCGAGTATTGTGGGAATATATATATTTATATACACAAATATATTAATATGAGTATATATTGTCATAGCTACTAATGGGGCCCAAGTCTTCAGTAATTTTCACTACTAAGACACTAAAGACATCCTTATCGATAATCAGATTAGTCCACTTAAATTTCTTCAGATGCTGACCGATGCAGTATATATGTTTTTTATTATTATCCATGAATGATTTTGACTTGTCTTTGTGCTACTGAGATTATTTTGCAGTGGGGAAAAAAGTTCAAGGGGGTCAGGTTTTAATATTGGTAGGAGAAATATTTGTCCTTTACAGAAGAGTGTCAAGAATAAAGCCTTAGTTGAAAAAAGTCATGAGAAGTTCTGTTTGCAACAAGCTGAGCAGGGAACACAGCAAACGTGTGGACCAAGGTTCATCTGGTCGAATAAGCCCAAAATGAAACCTTTTAGTGTGTTTGGTGCAGTGGAACTCTGAGACTGCGAATCTACCCGGACCATCTTCCCTAAAAGTCTAACACGTAGTGGGGTTCTCCGTCCAACAGGACCACGACCCCACCCAGAGCTACAAATGGGTTTAGAGGGTTTGAATCGAGTGTTTGTTTAGAACGGTCTGGACGGAGAACATTGCAAGATGGGTCGTGCTATGAAACTATACGAGTTCATCCTGTCTGAAAGCGCGACAGCTTAGATTTCAAGTGTGACGTTAAGCGAGGGCGAGATGAGTTGGAGTATTTACAACAAGCTCATGATGGATCAGTGAGAAAAGCAGAGCAGAGGGTGGTGGGAATTAGCAGTGGTTGAAAGTGAAAGTGGTGGAACACATGACCCCCTTATGCAGAGGAAGCCACAGAGACTACCATCTCTCTAAAAGGATCCCAGGTGCATTAGTCACATGATGGCAAAAAAACAAAAACAAAAAAAAAAAAAACTCCACATATTGACAAAATAGTTCCCTTTCCTCTTTTTCCATCAAACAAGCTCCAGGTTGAAGATATTTTACCACCAGAAGCAGCAACATGAGCGGCCTGATGTGTGCTGTGAGAAGGATCAAAAAGGAGAGGATAATCTGACACTATATGGCTTAACCCTTGTGTTTACAAATGGGGTCCAACCGACCCCACACCCATATCACTTGTATCAGTTGCCTCAGTCCTCGCACGCACAAGGGTTAAAAGAATCACATGAAGTTGCACAGAGCGGAGCATTTCGGGGCATCCGCGATCCGAGTAGAAGAGGACGATTGTCTGCCACAAGATGGCAGCAGAGAGCAATCCAGATTAGGCTCGGAACACGCGAAATGTAAAAGATACCTGAGCTGACGTAAAACTAAAGGCTTTCCACTTAAAGAGTCTATCGATGATTATTTACATTTTTAAGAAAAGGTAAATGAAAACATTTTCCCCAGACCTTATTCTCCTTTGCTACATTTAAGAGATGTATTTCCTATCAGAAATTATTTTATTGGTTAAATGACAATAAATTTAAATCCAAATTTATTTATAGTTGTGAATCATTTTGGTTCCTAACGACAGCTCGGTTAACAATGAGCCTTTTTTCTGTGAGTTGTGAGTTGAATTGATAAACAAAAAAAATATATATATATATATATATATATATTTTTTTTTTTTTGTTTGTTTGTTTTTTTGGTTTTTTTTGTTACTTTTATCTTTGTGTGAGCCTACCTAAATGTTCTGTCACTTTGCATCTGTTAGACCTGAATTTTCCCACTGTGGGACAATAAAGGATATTTCTGTTCTGTGTTTTGGTCACTTCCTGTGTCTGTTTGTATTGATGTCACTGGAAAGGGTGAAACATTTGTTTTTAATGTTTGTTTTTTTATTGTTTGCTTTGGACAAAGGTTCACAATAAAGAAATATTTTGAGAAGTGACAAATTTATTAAGAAGGAAATTGCTGAAACCCTTATTTGTAGCCTTGTTTGGGAAGGTTTTACTGGGTTTTCTGAGATGCTTGGGAAAAGGAAACTGAATAAATTGCTGTTTTAATTTCTTCTTTACTAAAGTAACAATTGACTTTGTTGTTTGCTATTGACAATAATGTTGCTGTAACGTTTTTATAGTGTCTGTCAAATTTTCTACAGTTACTGGAGGCAGCATGCTGCGCAGTTGAATCCAGAACTGTTCTGTAACGCTGCAGCTGGGAGAGAGCCTATTATCGGACAGGGTCAGTGGGCGGGGCCTCAGTGGCTGGGGCCACTCCCTCTGTCGGCCCTGATTTGCATAAAGAGCAGTGAAAGTTCGGAGCGAGGCAGAAGGAGGAGCAGCTGACTTCAGGATCCAGAGACGGAGCTTCATCTCGCCAGAGGGGGAAATTACAGTAAGTTCAGCCGCAGCTGGAACTTTTCAGTCTCTGAGCCCAAACTTTGAGTCCGTCTTTAAAAAACCTTTTCAAACATTCATTTATTCTGTGCATGACATGCTTATGTGTTGTACTCTGCACTACTTTAATTTCAACACAATTTAAGAGCATGATGAAAATAATTTCAAAACCCAAGGAGTCTGTTTCTACGCCTGACTTTTAGTTGACATGCCCTGACCTCCTCTTTATGCCTATTATTGACTTTGTTTCTTCATCAAATAAGTGCAATATGAATTCAAAGAGTCCAAGGTTAACATGATTTAAAATGGAGACTGCTTGTAATTACAAAGTGATTTAACTTTTTCTTCTTAGTGGCTGCTTGCACTGTTTGGCAAGGGTTACTCAAAGAGTTGCTGGGATTCTTCAAATTGACATTTTGACCTTTTCAGTCAATCCATAAACCTCTTCCATCCCTGGCGGGAGAAAATGTTCGCGTCACAACAAACCCTTAAATACTCCTTAGAGCAGAGCTCCTACAGGAAAATATCAGACAGCGTGATTCCCGTTTCATATTTCAGGTTTTCTGATCCGTGTTTAGTTTTCCCTCAAACCGAAGGAAATCGTGCACAGCCTCAATGTGTTCAGATGTTTCAGCTCCAGCGTCACCCAGTCTGCATGCCTCATGATCGCTGTGGGAAGAGAGAGCCGCTGAGAAAACCCAGCTTGGATCAAAGCACAACCAACTGCCTAATGATGGCGGTGCTGTTGTTCGCCCGTCCAGAGGCCGGAGCCTCATTCCACCCGTTCCCCGTGTGCGGATCAGCTTGTGTAACTGCTGCCACGTTACAGTGAGGAAAGCAGAGTCTGCAGCCAGATGTTTTCACACTACACAGGACAGGCACATCTGCAGTGAAGTCATCCAATAACACAAGTTCCCTGCATGTTTTTCAGTCCAGTAGTGGATGTTTTCTTGGTTCTGGAATGACATGTTAATCCTGTTTTATGGCTGTTTGTTATGTTTCTACATGTGAGGCTTAACAGTTAAAAAAAAACCCCATGACATCCACTAGCTGCAGTGACAGAACATTTTCAAACTGTGTTTGTTGTCCAAGACTTTAACTGGACAGTTGGGAACTATATGTAACCGGTCCTGTGGGTTCTTCTGGGATGTGAGGTGGTGTCTCTGTAGATCCAACTCATTCCTTGTTGTAGGACAGGGTTGCTTCACCGGCCATATTTTAGGGTGTTTGCCCAGAAAGTCTGGTTTGTTTGGGGAGGTTTAATTGAACTCTGAACAAGACCAGGAAGGTGAACATTCGTCCGCCTACAGACCTGGGCTCGGTTGAAGTGAACTTTGGTGCAGTTCAATTGTACATGAGGATGCCAAGTGGACCAGAGACCTCTCCAAAAAAGTGGACTACAGTGGACTACGTTCTGGGGAAATACAGCCAAAACAAACACAGTACTCTAGCGATAGCGGGAGAAATGGCTCATTGTCTTTTACCAATGACTAAATCACTAAAATCTGATGGCACTCAGTTTTCATTTACATTTCGTGAAGAAAGAAGTGATGCTCAGTGTCGTCCTCTGAGGTTTTTGTGTTACTTCCTTTAGTGGTTTTTGGTAGCTCAAAGGATTTTGTTCATCTAATGCAGTGTGAAAGTGAACCGCACCAGTCAAAACTGTAAAAAAATGTGGCAATTTTGGTCTCTAGTCGAACAAAATCTACCAGATTAGCAGGTGTGAAAACACCCTACACTCTTTGATAACAGCAAACTCAAAAAAGGTTGTGCAAAGCTGACTAAATGATCTGGCACCCTGCAAACCTTTAGTTTTGTGACACCAAACAGGCACTGTCCCACAAACTGACACTGTTCCAGCCTCTCTTTTTCAATGTCTATTAGTGAAGTTCCAGTTGAGTGGGTTATCAGTTTGTTTGACTGTGACTGCAGTCGGGTCAGGTCGGGTCAGTTCCACTCATTCACCTGCAGACTAAAGTCTTCACTCTGCCTAACACTGGCAGATTTTTGTGCCGACCCAACTTGCCAGCTGACTATAGTGCAGAGTGATGGCGACTTTATCTGACTGGAAATTTAGGCCGAAACTGGGGCGAATATCGTCCCAAGTTTTAATCGACTGCTAGCAACTTTTAATGACTGCTCCTTCTTACTTATTTTTATTTTAACAGTTCCTATCAAAATGTTGGCCAAACAAAAGCTATCCTACTGCATTGGCATATTCTTGGTGGTGTTGAGGCTGGCCCACGCCCAATACGAATACCTCGGATACCCACCGGGCTACCCAGACCCTGAACAGGAACAGTACACCCCTCCGGTCCTGGCTGCAGATACCCCCAGGATTCAGCTCCGACTAGCAGGACAAAAGAGGAAGCACAACGAGGGTCGAGTTGAGGTTTACTACAACGGTACATGGGGTACTGTCTGCGACGATGACTTCACCATCCATGGTGCCCAGGTGGTGTGCAAGGAACTGGGCTATCAGGAAGCAGTCTCATGGGTCCCATCTTCTAAATATGGGAAAGGAGAAGGTAAGGCACAGACATTCTCAATACATGACATGTATTATTTTTGTACATGGCATTTATTTACATCCCACAGGTGCGTAAACTAAGGCTGGGCGACCTCACAAATTTATCAACCATTGATAATAGGCTGAGCCATTCACCAGTTGATCTTTTAAGAGGGATTTTTCTTTTTCTTTTTGGCATTTGAGTTGCTGTCTTAATTAATAACAATGCTTGACTGAAGCCACAAGATGCAGCCCATGGAAAAAAAACAAAAAAACAAATTCCGTTTTTAATGGTGCACGCAAACTCCTTCCAGCTGCAACCAAAGCTTTTATTTTCCGTAGAGTTCCTCCAAGTTCAGCAGTGATTTATTTACTCAAACTTATAACAGAAAGGCAGCATCCTATAGAAAAATACATTTATTTAAATAGTACCCTAAACCTGTGATGGATTGGTGACCAGTCCAAGGTCTAACTTGCCTCTCGTTCACTGGAGATCGGCACCAGCACCCTTGGGAGCCCCACAAGGGATAAGTGTGTCGTTCTGCCTAGAAAATGTCCGCTGTGCGAGTATATCACCCATAGTCACCAGTCACCTGATGAACATTGGTTGGGAAAATGTTGCATATCGCAAAACCTTAGTGTAAACTTGAAATATTTTGTGGCAACCAAACCAAGGCAGAGTGTTGAATGCTAATATGATGAAACCTTCATTTCTGTTTTATCCCATAAGGACCCATCTGGTTTGACAATCTCCAGTGCACTGGAAAAGAGAGGACGCTGGCTCTGTGTCCATCCAACGGTATTGGTGTTTCTGACTGCAAACACACCGAAGATGTAGGCGTGGTGTGCAGCGACCGCAGGATCCCTGGATTTAAATTTGTCAACACATTGCCCAATCATGTGGAGGTAATCTTCTCCAAAAGCTGCATGCGTTTTTTATATTTCCTTATTATTATTGTCCTTGTGGACTGTGGGCCTCGGAGATACCAGCCGGTGCTTGTGGTTTGTTCTGATGTAACTTCTCTCCAACAGATTAAAAATTTAATGTTTTTCTTGTTATTTGAGCTTGTTATTTAACCTGACAAACTGGCCTCTTCTGAATTCATATTCTAATTCATTGAATATGACTGTACTTCCCTTCTAATTTCAAAATAGAAGAACCTACATAAATAAAGGGTGTCAAGAGTAAAACACTCAAGTTTTCTTTGGCAAAGACATTTCATAGGGTTTTGTTATGAATTATTTAATTAGGAATGGGGAGAGATTTTGTTACATCCATAAAACTCATCATGAGCCCTAATGAGACCTTGTGGTGAATATGCAGTCACTGATTGTGTAGTCTCTAAAGTAGGGTTAGTAAACAGAATTCCTGATTTTCTGAAAGTTGAAAACAAATCTAAACTGTAGCTCTCTCACAAAGACAGAAATTCTTCTATTATTATTGGTAAAATTATCAAAAAAAGAAGATCCTTTTTATATAGCACTTTTTCAGCAACAAGGCAGTTCAAAAATCTAGCTTGTAGAAAGGATTTCAAGCACAAAATAGTGTTTTTGTCCCAATGCTTAACTCAGAGTCATTAAGGATGTTTTCACACCTGGTAGTCCAGTACACTCAGTTCAATTAGGGGCCAAAGTTGCAATGTTAGCTACATTTTCAGTTGATGCGTTTTACTTTAAAAATGCACTATGTCAAACAATCCAAACTAAGTGAAAAACTTGTTCACCCCTTTGCCTGCACCAAAAACTACTGAAGGAAGTGACAAGAAAACTCCTGAAGAATACACTGAGTGCAACTTCCATCTTCACAAAATGTAAACAAAAATGGACTAGCACCAGATTTTAGTGGTTGAAGGATTTCTCTTTTGTATTTGGGAGAAAGCCACGAGCCATTTCTTGTTTTTGTTTTGGTTCTATTTACCCAGAATGCCCTGTATTATAGTTTGCTTCCTGCTCTTGGAGCCGTCTCTGATCCACTTGCCTTCACATATGCATTGGAACTGTGCCAGAATTAACTTCAACTGAACAGAGGCCGAGGTTTGTAGGAGTCTGTGTCACAGTTCGATTGAGCATTCACACCTCCTCAACCAAGCCTTTCTAGCCAAACAAACCAGAATTCCATTAAAGCAGGGCTGCTGTGAATGCGCCCTGAGATACCGTTTGTCTACAGTGGCTTCTCAGGCTTAATTTTTCCTTTTCTATTTCTAAAATATGACCAGTTTCCTCCAATTTCTTGACTGCACCATCTGCGTATGATGAAGCCGTGATAAATGGAGAATTGGCACAAGAGATTAGAAAAGGAGTCTTGTGGGTTGAAATGTTTGCAGACGACACTGTGGTATTATGTGGAAAACAGGCTGGAGAGGTGCAGCTATGAGAGAGGAGGAATAAAGACTGAATGTGAACAAGACACGGAGCAGTGAAGCTGTGATGTACTGGGTCGATGAGTTTAAGTACCTGGGGTCAGTCTTCTAAAGTTAATGGTGAGTTCACACCAAACACGTTTTGAGCATCAGGGGAGTCTGGTTTACATTCAAAGTCTACGTGGAGGCGCATAGTGATGTTGCGAAGTGTTTGGAACATCTAGTGCGGCACGATTTGAACTATTTGGAGCGTTGTGAACGTTTAAAGTGTCGAGCATGACCAACGTGTCCCGACGCTCCACATAGATTTTGAATGGAAACCGGATGTGCCTGACGCTCAAAAGGCGCTTGGAGTGAATGCACCATAGCAGGCAGCGCACAGTAGAGGTAAACAAAAAATGCTGCAAGATTTGACTTATCCAAGGGACAGCTCAGATTGAATCCTTGTCAGAAAAATGTAAATGGGTAACATTCAAATTTAGAGGGGATAGACTGTATGGCCTTGCCCTACCCTCTGGAAACCTCGGTCTCTGTGTAGGAATTGTGGGGATATTGTTCCAAACAAGATGGATATAAACAGATAAAGCAATTACTAAGAGAACTTTACAAAGAGTGTGATGCCATTCTATCAAACTATAAGACCGTAAAAGACGTTTTGTTTAAAAAAATGAATGACGTCAAATTTTAAGGCTAAAGTTTCCTGATATGTTGGAAGTCAAAAAGTCTTGATGCTTCATATTCACAATGTTACTTACAGTAGGGGATTTCTACACAATCCCTACAAGGAAAATTCTTAGAGTCAGACTTTTTGTATGCAATAAACATTTACCCAACCCAAACCTCAGTATAGTGGACCCCAGCTATTCAAAGGGATTTGGAACCACAGCTGCCTGCGCATAGTTCAAATCCATGAATACTTGAGGCTTCCTCTAGTTGTAATAGTTCACACACCAAAAATGCCCTAAGCAGCATTAATACACACACCGTCTTAACTTGCTTTAACACTGCTGTTGAAGCTAACATCTTGGTCTTCTTTTGTGCGCACTTGGACAAAAGATTAGGTGGGGACAGCTAATCAGCTTCACGGAAAATAAAATAAAATAAAATAAAATAAGTGTAGCTCCTGGATTGTTGTGAATTTGCAAACACCAGCCAATAGTGTGTCGAGTAGCATTGTGCCCAGTCATTTCAGCTCACCAGGCTGTGATCCACAAATAGACAGATTTTCCATGAATAAATTGGAGTTACGTTCCACAGGAAAATCCGAGAATAGTGATTACTGAGGCTGTACTTGGAATGTTCCTGTCAGATGTGACCATGTAGCTCTGGATTCAGAAAACAGTACTGCTAAAAAAATCTCTTTGGGTTTTGTTCTACAAAACTCAAAATTGATAGCTAATCCCAGGGTCCTTTAAAAATAGTCTTAAACGTCTCGGTGAAAGTGAAGCTGAACAGGTAATTATGAGGCGTTTGTGCTCATAACTGTCGAGCCAACCCTTTTAAAGCCCTTCAGACCGGACTGAGCAGCAAGCTCCAAGCTACTACTGCCAGTCCAATGTGTTCTGCACTCCTTGCAGGCCTCACACATTCCAACGTTGTGAGCTCACTGCAGATCGAACTTAATGCTGTGACTGTTATCCTTTCTTTCTCTTTTTCTTTTTTTTTTGTTGCTTCTCCTTGGGAAGCTTAGGAGCTAACACAGACATTTCCTCCAGGAATTAATAGTGAATGTAAAGTAGAGTTTAATTTAAGAGGAAGTAATGGGCATTGATGATGCAAGCAATTAGTAACTATGGTACCACACTTGAATTTGTGGTGCCAAGCAAGTTTGATAAGTCACATCATTTGATCAAGTCAATATAAAAGATTTATTAAAGCGGCAGTATTATGTAAAATCGACTTGTTTTAGCTTTACATCATGTTATAATGTTATTCCAGGAGTTTTGCTTTGATTCTTTCATGCATGTTTAAGAAATAATTTAATCTCCTGTGGCAACCATTCAGCTGTGCATAACGCCTGGTTGGGCCTAGCTCCACCTTTGAGGTTCAGCTCCTCCTCAGAGCTGCCATTTCCAAGCTTCAGAGCTTCCACCTCCCACGTGACTCCCCCACTCAGCTCCTTAAGACTAGCCAGCAGCAATTAGCAATCACCTGGTAGAACAGAACATCAGCTGAGCTCTTTATAGGAGTAATGGTAAAAATGTTGTTTGTGATGACTTCCTGAAGGTGTAGTGTTGGAAAGAGCAGGACTTTCTTAAAGAGACAGAGGCCCAATTTTAAGGTATTTAATTACAAAGTCAAAATTATTTCATGTCATATTGGAAATTTGTAGCATTTTTATAACAACTGAAGGTAACATAGTTACTTAATTGTGGCTGGAAAACCCATAGCACTGTCCCTTTAAGGTCCCAATCATTTCATAAAAATTGAGTTAGGATATTTTAATCTAAACTGATTGCTTTGACATCCCTGTTTGAGTTAAAAATGGTATCAACAAACTCAGATCACAGAGGGCTTTGTTTCAGACACAGTGTTGTTGTATGGACTGTTCCATGGTGTTATTGCTTAGTGTGTTTTGGGGGAAACGTCTGTGCATCTGAACAGCTGATATTGTTTTGGAAAGGCTGATTTAGTTTATTAATATACTGCCCAACAGTAGTTGTTTTCAGACGGCAAATAAACTCAAGATGAAGAACTGACACATATGACACACAGCTGATATAGCGGTAGTGTGAGCTGCTCACGACGGTGTTGCCCACCATGGCATGACAGGAGGGCTACTTGATTCACAGACTATTTCAAATTGATATTTATTTGGAGAAATAAACGGAAAAAGATGGAATATTTGTGTACCACTTACTACAAAATGAATATTGAAGTATTTCAAGCAATATTAAAGTGAACTGAATTGTGACGTTTTGAACAATACTTCGCCTGGAGGTACAAAGAAATATTTTTCCAATTGTGAAAATTGTAAAAATGTTCACAAATGGAAATTTTCACCTGAAGGGAAGAGGTGCACCGATAAATCAGCCAGCCAATAAATTGACCCCGATTTTCTTAATTTTGGGAGATCAGTGATCAGCAGTGATCACAGTTAATAAAAATCACTCCACTGTTGCCAACTCTGCAACTTTACTGCAATATTTATCAATATTTCAGATCAAAAAAAAAAATCAGTATTGGCCAAAATAGCTTTTTAAAGATTGGTAGTCAGTGAACGGTCAGAAAACTACAATCGGTGCAGCCCTACTGAGAGCGGCAGGTCCCATCTTCCCAACGACAATTTGGTTAAAGACGTTTCTTAACGGAGGATTATTTCCCCTCGCTAAATGAAAGCTCTCGATGTTTAGCTTAGTGTTTACCAGGAGTGCTAATAGATGACCTTGGCTCTGTAGAAGGAGATGTCCTTGGATTTTAGAGACAAGAAGTAGATTATGATTTTCTCCACGTAGTGCAGATGGACATGTCTAGACGTATGGAGCCAGACTGGGATGATGGCCTAAAAAACCCCAACAAAACCAAACAAAAAAGACCTTCAGACTCAACTTTTCCATTTACTGAAATAAGTCAGATGGGCCCCCAGCATGTAAAACACACCCAGCTGGGAGCAGCGCTCCACCGCTGTGGCCTGGCCCCATCATCCAGGCAGGCGCGTTGTAATGGCAGCCATGAACTGTATGTTGCTGGGGGGTTTTAGTGGTTTGGGATGATTAT